GGTTAAGTTTAGTTAAGGTTTGCTTGCATGGAAAGGAAAAGGGAAGATTTGGAGCTGAGACTGAGAGAGGGGAAAAGGGAAGCATTGATGAGAGAAAAAGCAGATGCACTGGGGGAGATGAAAAAAGAAACAAGCTCAACCAAATGGGCTGATCCGGTGAATCCCCAAGGAATCCTTCATTGACCCGCCGGGAAAATGCCTCTGGACTGATTAGGAGTTCTTTCTGGCTGAGGAAATAGTGTCAGAGAAATGTGAGACCCCTTTTAAAATAAAGCCGCTGAAGAACCTTGAACCTACCACTTCCCCTTCCAGCTCTGCGCATTTGGTGACTCTGGAGGCACAGGGCCAGTATCTAAATGTCAGCAGAGCAACTAGCCCTCACAGTGGGTACACCAGGAAGAAACAGCTGTGGCAATAGGCCTACTCTCACAGATGCATCACACCCTCAGCCTGGAACAGTGTAAGAACTATCTGAGTGTGTTGCACTTGCTCCACAGCCAACAGAGCACATTCCTTGGCTGATGGGCCACTGGGACTCTCTGGCCTGTCTTCAACTTCAAATTGTCCCATGGCAGGTTGTTCCATGGTGAGTTGACAGTGGTGAGTTGGCCGTGGGAATCAGCCATGGTGTGTTGTCCTTTAACATAATAGATGATGATAGAAAAAATAGCTTACAAAAGTTATAGACACTGGGAAAATTGCCTAGAAAAATAGGTATAGTCTGAGCTTTTTTGTCATAGAATGCCCAGAACGGAGTTCCGGCACCTTTTTGGATGGAACCTTGTAGGGTAGACAAGGCGGGTTGTATGACATGTGTGAGTTCCGGCACCTTTTTTTTTTTTAACAAAAAAAGCACTGGGTATATTTATAGGAAGATCACATAAATATGTGAATAAATATGGATAACTTTTCTATCAAATATCAGAATTTAACATTCAGTTGTAAGATGAGCTATGAAATGCAAACTAAATTGGCAGAACCATCCAGGTTGAACTCCTTGAGTAGGATGTTGGACTAGAAGACAAGATCCCTTCCAGCTCTGCTATTCTGTTATTTCTGAGCCACTGAGAGAAATAATCTGTTATCGTCATAAAAAAAGTGTGAGCTTTCTGCAATCCGTGTTAATGCTTTCCTAAGTTCCACTGAATTTAATGGGATTTCCTTCTAAATGCATATTTAGCATTGTCCATATAATTATGTTTTATTAATATTTTAATATTAAACCATTAATACTAATTGTTAAAATTGTTGCTAAAACCCAGTGTGTTTACCTTCCATTGGTATAATTTCATATTTTTCCCATAAGCAAATTTGTATAAATTATTTCAATGATTTAAGTGTGTAATTATTATGACCAAATCCATGTATATCAATCAAATCAGTCTGTATGTCTGTTTTCAAATAAATTTTCATAGAGGGCTGTGTTCTAATTTTCAGTTATGTACATGTCACAGAAAATATTTTTATAGTGTAATGCAAATTTGCTAGTGCATAAATTTTTCCAGATGTATTTATATCCTTGCAGATTTCTGGTCAATTGCTTCATGGATATTTTCAAAGGACAGCAGCTATGTTGCTTTTAAAACAAACGTTGCAACATTTTCTCAATTCATTGCAAAATAATTTGTATTGGCTTATAGTGTCACTTGTCACGTCATTCCTGTACTTTTGGAGATCCATAAAAGATAACAAACAATCATCTTTTATTTACTGTGAGAAGTAGGGCAGCTACTTTTATCATTCACAATTATCATCCAGCAGGGGGAAAAAAATTCAGTAGAACAATTCCACAGTTCATTATAAGACATTTTAAAAATACATGCAAAACAAAAAATCCTCTGTGAACAAGAAAATAGGAGATTTCTACAAAAATAGAATGATGTCTTCATTAGAAAACAGGGCTGGACACCTATTTTGCTTCCAGGATCTGTAGATGTTGTCAAATGAAGGACGATATCTATATGCACAAGCAAACATGTGATGAGGAAGGGTGAAATCTTCTTCATAGAATCATGGAAAAGAGGGCTAATTAAAGTTGAAATTATGCAGAGTTTCAAGGCTTTTTCTGCTTGGAAGAGGACAGAACCTTCTTCATGCAAATAGAGAAAGAATTGTAGATCCATGCAGTGGATACAAAGCAACATAAATGATCTGGGACCCGGATTTCTGGTTAGAATAGTTGAAAGTCATTCTTTCTTTACAGTTCCTATTGCTGTTATGAAGACTGAAACAGTAGCCTTTACTCCAACAAGATAATGGTTGGACCATAAAGAAAAAAAAATGGATGGATGTACCGAGCCTTATTTCTAGTGTTGATTGCCACAATCTACTCCCTGAACTGTGATCACTCTAGTAGGGTATTACCATTAAAAACCATTTAAATCCAGTTCCAACATGATGACAAGAACATGATTTTTCATCTCCATTTTTAAAAACGTCTACAACAGTTCTCAACCATTTGCAGATGGTTTATGTTTTATCTTTAATTAGAAATGAATTAGAAAGCAGTTAATATGTATAAAAGCTACAGTACAGACACAGTATTCAGAGATGATGTCATAATATTCTTCAGTTTCTTAATCTATTAATGCAACAAATTTGTCTGGTCTAGGCTTTTGTGAGAATTTGTCTGTAATTAATATCTTAGACCAGTGGTGGCGAACCTATGGCACGTGTGCCAGAGGTGGCACTCAGAACCCTCTCTGTGGGCACGCGCGCCATGCCCCGGAGATGGCAACCGTCCCTCTTCAACTAGCTGCCTGCTAATTCGCCGAGGTCCCACATGGCTGGATGCATCCCAGCACCCATGTGCTCGCTGGCCTGTGTGCAGGGGCCGATGGTGTCAGGCAGCAGCTGCCCTGGCCCCTGACTCACCTTGCCCTGTGACAATGGCACCCCCGTCCTGCCTTGCCTCACTCCGCAGGACGAGCCTCCTGCCCACCGCCCCACCTGCCAGAGACCCCCTGGATCTCCCCCAACTCTGCCTGGCCCCCACAGGTGTCCCTCCCCATGAGCAACATTGAGGTGATCACGCCCACCTTGGCCACACCCACCCAATCTGGTATGACCACCACAGCCACGCCCATCCAGTGGGCCACGCCCACCTGGCATCTGGTGATAAGTGGATTTTGGGTTGCAGTTTGGGCACTCAGTCTCTAAAAGGTTCGCCATCACTGTCTTAGACTAATGCACAAGAAGAATCTCTCTAAGAAAGGTTTGCTGGAAGAAGGCTGCTTGTTTTCTTTTCATTATTACTTACTTTGGCTAAACTGAGTACCTTATGCCATAATCACTTAAAAATAAGTGCTCTGATTTCATGTCACTTTGAATATGTGACGAATCTAAAACAGGGATACAAATCCTTAATCCTTACTAACACAGCTTGCCATCATTTTGCCTATCCCTCTGTAGCTTCGTGATGGTTTCAGTATCACATTGGTTAGCAAAGAGAGATAACTCTTTGCCAAGTTTTTTTTAAGTATGGAAGCCTTTGGGCAGTGTTGGGCTTCAGGGTTTAGTGATTGTGTTCTAGACAGATTTCCTGATGTTTTGCCAGCAACTGTGTCTGCATCTTCAGGGGTAAAATAGGATGCCAGCCACAGCTGCAAGCAAATATCAGAAAAGCTGTTATCTAGACCACAGTCACTAAATCTTGAAGCCCAGCTGTGCCCAACAGATACTAGCTATCAAAGACTACACCATGGAGATATTGTTTGCTACTTAGGAGCAAAGGGAAGCAATGATATCTTTTCATTTTCCTACCACTATTAAGATTGCATGGTTACATGTTCATGCCACATCCACTAAATATGCATAGAACATGGGAAACAAATAGGAAGTCATAACTCAAGAGAAGATATGTGGGAATAGAGTACGATGGCCCCAGGGAAGCAACTAAGGAAAGCCATTATGCTGTCACAATGAATTTCCACCCTTTTGCACCCAGGTTGTAATCACACAAATACAAAAAGGGCAGAACTTGCACATCAAAGGCTTGATGCTGCTTCTATCCTTTTGATGAAAGCCTTCAATTTTGCAGATGTCTCTGATCACAGAACTTCCTACCTTACCTACACATTCACAGAATAAGAATAGAATAGAATAGAATAGAATAGAATAGAATAGAATAGAATAGAATGGAATGGAATGGAATGGAATGGAATGGAATGGAATGGAAGGGACCTTGGAGGTCTTCTACTCCAACCCCCCCACTCAAGCAGGAAATCCTATACCATTTCATACAAGTGGCTGTCCAGTCTTTTCTTAAAAACCTCCAGTGATGAAGCACCTACAGCTTCTGAAGGCAAGCTCTTCTACTGGTTAATTGTTCTCACTGTTAGGAAGTTTTTCCTTAATTCCAGGTTGCTTCTGTCCTTGATTAGTTTCCCTCCATTGTTTCTTGTCTCATCCTCTGGTGTTTTGGAATACTGGATGATATTTCCTTTACTCCCTGTCATGCATGTACACTCCTCTGAAATAGTAATATCACTTGCCAATAAGTCCATTATGAAAATGCAACAGAAAGGGTAAATTATAAAAAAAGATCACAAAACCCAGAGAATGCCTCGTTGGACACAAACCTCCCTAGAGTGTTAACTCATGGGGAGGACCTTGCTTCCATACAAATGGGTACATACGTACAACCTGAAAAATTGCAAATAGAGTCTGCGACAAAAAGACTCTTACCTGAAACAGCAGAAAATACCTGCCAAAATTCTGAGCTACTGGTAGTTCAAAGATTATTTTATATCTCAATATAAAAGTTTATTATTGTATATTTAATTCTTTAGTTAAAACTAAAGATGTTTGCAAAACATCATCCAGAAGAGTTTTACCATCATATAATGATGAAGGGAAGAATCCAGTGCTTATAAATGTTTAGTTCACATTCCAATGCTTATAAAGGGATTTAACTTTATTGCTTTACTTTGCAGGCAATCAATTGCATGATAGTCAAATCCATTCTTACTTTCCTTATATTCCTTTTTTAACTTGCTTAGGATCTGGACCACATACAGTTACATCTGAAAGAAGTGAGGTTCTTTGATTTATTCAGTTACAATGAAGAAGCGAGGGCTTGGCAATGTTTCATGTGTAACAATCCTGAAAAGGCAACAGGTAAAAGACTTTTCTTCAGAAGAACTGAATGATACAAATAATACAGATTCAGAATCTAATAAATGGTGTTCTGCATAAAATATCTGAATTATGCAATCATGTTATTAACTGTGAAAGCCTGCTTGGCATAGAAGTTAAGGTTTACCTTTGCCTTGCTTGGAAAATTTGGCTGTAACTTTACCTAAAAAAGATTAGATCATTATCATCATCATCAGAAAAAAAAAGAAGAGGAGCAAATTAAGGTAAAAACGACATTTAAAATCAAATGTTTTTGGACAGTCTCTTAATATTCTGCCAGATCACTTTTGAGGTTGTACTTTTATCTGTGATTTCCATAGTGAAATGTAGCCATTCCCATAGGGCAGAATTCAATTTGTTGATGAGTTTTGTTATTTTAAAGCTCAAGAAATCGTATGTTATTTAGTTGAGTAAATGAAACATATAAATTAGGATGTTTCAGCACTGCTGATTGAATATAATTAGAGATGGTTGGTTATTTGGGATTCTATCCAATTCACTTGGGTATGTCTAGTTTAATGAAGAGAAGGATGAGAGGGGACATGATAGCAATGTTCCAATATCTCAGGGGTTGCTACAAAGAAGAGGGAGTCAAGCTATTCTCCAAAGCACCTGAAGGCAGGACAAGAAGCAACGGATGGAAACTAATCAAAGAGAGAAGCAACCTAGAACTAAGGAGAAACTTCCTGACAGTTAGAACAATTAACCAGTGGAACAACCTGCCTCCAGAAGCGATGAATGCTCCAACACTGGAAGTCTTTAAGAAGAGACTGGACAGCCATTTGTCTGAAATGGTATAGGTTTCCTGCCTGAGCAGGGAGTTGGACTAGATGACCTCCAAGGTCCCTTCCAACTATTATTATTATTATTATTATTATTATATTATAATTATTATTAGTTCTCTTCACTTTTCTTAATGACAGAAGAGCTTCTATAAGCAGAATCAGAGAGGGCAGCTGTCTTTCGTATCCTCCCATAGCCTTTTCAACACATTCAAAACCACCTTCAGAAGATTTCTTAAGAATAGATTAGAATGGAGAATATTATTACAATAAATAGAGAGAAGTTCAGTATAACAGAATTGTGTATTGAATATTAACATAAGATTTCAGGATTGAAATAGTGTGAGATATATTGGCCACATCCAAACATCAAATCTAAAATTTGAGATTCCATATTTGACAAATTTAATGGCTGAGGCAATTCCACCATGCTGGAGAAAATTCAATAAATGCCCATGATACTGCCCTTTAAATAAAAAGGTAAGATGTATTTATTTTAACATTCTTCATGCTGTTATTTTACTTTTTAAACATTGATAGTTGCTTTGGCATATTGTTTATATAAACTTAATAAGATTTTGCAGAGCAAAGCAGGAATAATTCTTTTTGTTCTGTAGCTTTTTTGGTGGATAATGGGCTCTATTTCCTTGTCAATTTCTTTTTCTTCTGAATAGACCTCAGCAAAATGGAATTGTACTAATTATTCTTTGGGGCCAATATGTTTGTACTGGAAACATTTCACTGTTATGGGGAGATAGAGTTATGAGAAGTAAAACAGATGCCAGTTAAAATGATTTGCCATCTGAAGATGTGAAACCATTGAAATTATTCAGCAGGATAGAAAGAACTGGCAGTCAAGGAGTTTGGACAACTTTATAATGCTGACTGTTGACTATTATGCAGAGATGAAAACTTTTTTAAAAATCCATTAACATCATGCAGCTTTTTATTGTATTTCAACTGGCTCATTCTTGCTTCAGAATTAATTCTATGACATTTTCAAAGGGAAATGTATTCATTTTCCTCAGTAGCACATCTGTTCGAGGATAAGATCTAGACTGAATTATTATTTGGTTAAAATGTGTTTTTTGCAATGGCTAAGCAAAGTAAATTAAAACTGAAATCATAACCACAGCAACCAGAAGAATATGTTATTGATATTAATAAGATGTATTTAAAGTAAAAGTAGTGATGTTATTTTATTCTGGAACTTCCTTATATAATACAAGTTCAGTAATTTTAATATTATGATATATCTTGATCCTAATACCCTTTCTCCAAGATGTATACTAAAAGCTCTTCAGAGTTTGCACAATCAACTTCCCTTTCAGTCTGTTTCTTTCTATTTCTCTTCCCTCAGCCCCACAATTCTACATGGTATATCCCAATTCTAAATTTATGTATCTTCCAGATTTTGTTTTTATTCCTTTATATTTTATTCTGCTGCTGTTATTTTACCCAGAGTAGAAGTAATAGCTAGAAATACATATAGAGAGCAGTGGAAGGCTTGTATTTATTAGTCCTACATGCTTAATTAAGTTCTGCCTCATTGATCAGTGAAATGCTTGTTGACATAACTGTCTGCAATATTCATAGCAATACCAATTTTATTTATGTTCCTTTATGCTTCTCTGCATTACAAATGTAGGTTTCCATTCAATTGCACCGGCATTTTTGAAATGTTCTATAGCTCATTGCTTTTGCCAGCCCATGGAAGCAATTTCTTATGCTTTGTACATGCTCATAGGAAATATTAACTATAAGGGCTTTGGTGCTATCTAATCTTTTCTTGTCGACATTTCATAACCAATAGCATCAACAGTGCTAGAAGGGAGTGTGTTTGGAATCAAGGAACTTCCAAAAATACATCCACCAACAGTGACAGGGCAAGCCACTAGTTTATAAAAATAAAAGCAAATCCCACTCCCTTTTAGCACTGATGACGTTATCTAGTTTGGTAACGAAACATCTGCAAAAAACCCATCAAAATCAGAGAGCACCAAAGACCCCACAGTTTAATCCTGAGCTACAAATGTTCTCTTCTGTTGGTAACTGATCAGCTGTTTATCCGTCACTGTGGTTCTTCAAATGTAATCAAAAAATAATCCATGTGCAGGTAATTATTCTTGGGATATTTTGGTTTCATGAATGCATGCCCATAAAAAAGTGCTTCCCCCTGTCTTTCCCAACACTATTCAGACCTAGATAGTCTGACGGTGATTGTGAAGGTACAGGAATGCCCACGTGGAGGCAAGCACAAATGAATGGAGAAGGATGGTCACTGATAAGCAACATATTCTTTTTTCTGCAGTTTAAATATCTTAATATATTGATTGTATATAAAAGTCTGAATATTGTCTTTGCAGATCAGGATTCTCAATATCTTACTAGAATGTCAACATCATGAATTTCCTAAAGGGCATGTGTTGGCTGCTTTTGATAGTCCTTAGGAACAAAGTTCAGCTTAAAAGGCATTTAAGAGATCTGAATGTATAGTTTTATCAATTCCTGATTCTCTCTGTTATTTAAAAGTAACCAAAGAGAGATAGAGAGAGCACCAAACACTCTAATGTAGAACATACTGAATCAAATGTTTGACATAAAAAAACAGACCATATCAGGGGCTTTCTTTGCTCATTTCCTGCTGTCATAGCCAAAAATAAAATAGATTAATTTTCTAAACAGTCATCGGCCATATAGAGAGCATATTATTTTTCAGACCACTACAATCCTCACTCTTAAAATATATTTTAGAGACCATGTATATTTGTCAGCGTGGCTCTTTCTTTATATGTTGTACTATAGCTCCCATTATTCTTAGCCAGGACATCTGGAAGGGCCTGATAGGACTTTGATCTTCAGCTAATAGTTTATTATTCAACTTACACCACCAGCATATCTTTTATTTGTTTATATGATATAGCTCATTCTCATGAGTACAAAAATGCTGTATAATATCTGTTTAAAAATAGCTTATCTATTTAGTTATGTATCTTTTGCTATGGACATTAGAGTGGGGATGGGAAGGGGAGAATGTGAGATTCCATTTTTGGTGACAGTTTCTTTTGATATCTATTTAAAGAAAACTTTTTTAAAACACACACACACACACACACACACACCATTAGAATCTGACATCCTATTTCATCAGTTTAATTGTGAGATACCCTGAAAACAAAATTTGGACATACACAAATGCCATTTACATATACAATTCCATTCATACCATATAGACTCATTCACACCATACTTACTCATTTATGCACTATATGCACATTCCATTCATATTCTTTTCACATCCTTCTCCTCAAACAGAAAAACAGATTTCCTATTGTTTATAAGAATTAACCAAATGATGATCGCTGTGTCTTCTCTGATTTTCCTCCCATTCCTACGTTTTCCCTCATCCCTATAACTACTTAAAGAATTAATTAGGGCTTTCTAATGAACACTGGGAAAAGACTCTATGGTTGATCATGGAATACTCTTAGAGAGCATGCTAATGTAATTTCTGTCTGAAGCTTGCAACAATTTACATTTCAGCATTTTCTTTACTTACACATATAATATAGTGGTATTAATGAAGGAGAATATTTGTAGCTCAGGGTTGAAATGAGGGGTCCTTGGTATTATCTGAGCTTTGTTGTTTTCTTGCAGACGTTTCATTACCCAAACTAGGTAACGTCATCAGTGTTAGACTAGCAATGATGATGTTGCCTAATTTGGGTAATGAAACATCTACAAGAAAGCAACCAAGCTCAGGGACCACCAAGGACCCCTCAATATATAATGGCTTAGTAAACATACTGTAAATAGGTAAAAAAAATAGTGACCTAAATTAATTATATACTTCAATCCAAACTTGGATTAGGGGGCAACAGGAAAGACCTCTAAAAAAGTCTAAGCAGATTTTGACCAAGAAGGGAATCCACCAGAAACATCAAGGTCATGCATTAGATTGAGAAGTGAAACAGATCCTGGATGAAGGTCATGGCAAAGTGCTTCCATATTTTTGTTAAGAACCCTGCATGGATATGTTTGGATACTAAGCAAGAGCTAAGACTTATTCAAAGAAAAATTTACTATTTTTTTTACTATAAAATATGGTTTTCAGGACTACAAGAAGCTTTGAACAGTAGGCTGCCCAACCATGATTTATAATATTTTAAACAGCAACTTTTTAATCCAGTACTTTTCCTT